AAGCAGATCCTTGACCCGTTCCTCTTGGATCACAGGAGCTTCGATTTGCTCTCCCTCCCTGCTCTCAGGCACCATAGGCCAGCTCACCTGGGAACTACTAACCTTATTATTAAAGACTGAGGCAAAGAAGGCATTAAGGACCTCAGCTTGTCCTCATCCCTAGTGACTAACGTACCCCCTGTGTCCAGTAGGGGCTGGAGGTAATCTTTAGACCTCCTATTGTTATTAATGTATTTATAGAAGGACTTTTTGTTGTCCTTTACGGAGCAGGCTAGTCTAAGTTCCAGTTGGGCTTTTGCCCCTCTGATTATCTCCCTACATGCCCTAACTTCCTCCCTGTAGTCCTCTCTGGACACCTGCCCATTCTTCCAAGACTTATAGACTTCCCTTTTTCTTTTGAGGTGTTCCCAAATCTCCTTGGTCACCCAAGCCGGTTTTCTACCCTGGCGGCTCGATTTCCGGCACACAGGGACAGCTCGCTCCTGTGCCTCCAGAATTACCTTTTTGAGGAGTAACCAGCCTTCCTGCGCTCCCTTACCCTTGAGAGCTGTCTCCCACTGTACTTTATTAACCAGACTTCTAAACAGTCCAAAGTCTGCTCTCCCAAAGTCCAGCTTGGCTATTTTAGTGCTTTTTTGTCACAATCGCCATCAGAAAGATCATGTACTGATCTTTACAACACAACGCTCTTCAAGTCTTAAGACTGAAAGCAAAGATAAGCAAAGATACCTTGAGAAATGCAGGTAGTTGGCAAATGCTGAGCCAGCCTGCAACAGCAATGCAATTGTCAGCACCTTCAATACAGTGTGCATAGGTCCACGCTTCTTAATTGTTTGCCACAGGGACTGGGCATATATGCAAGCAGTTACGAAGTATGCTAGGACAAGCAGGAAAAAGAATTCATGTAATCCTGTGAAAAAAGAAATACAGCTTAGTTTTTATAAAGAAACATTGCTAGTAGCAGTAAACAACTAAAACAAAATGTTTTTTATATAATCACTGGGAAATACTTAGTAACTGTCACCCAAAAATGGTAGTACCGATAAAATGAGTAAACCAGAGCCTATTTTATCCAATAAGTCACTGAGCTTTCTTGGGGAGCTGATTATTGTTTGATCTGACAAAGTATTTATTATTTTATACCTTTCCTGAGTGTAGGAGAGGTTTTGTTTAAATACGAATAGCTTTGTAGCAATTACTGCATTAGTATAAAGTGGCATACAGTTTTGTGATAAACAGAAAATAATTGTAGCCCATTTGATCAGTCAGAAACATATTTATTCACATTTTTAGCTCTCTTTTTTTTTTTTTTCCCCCCTTCAATTTTTAAAGGCACAATCTGAGATGAGAGAAACCCAGAACAGACTTCTGTTGACTCTATTTAACCACTGGGTGTCACACTTCCTCCACACAAAGTCCAAGAAGCACAGCTGACCAAGACAGAAAACTTTTAGATAAAGAGAAATGGAAAAAAAAATAGCAAAAAGAATAATAATAAGTTCATAGAGTGGATTTTTTTCTTTTGCATCAATCTGAAAAAATGTCGAAAATTTTTTATATTATTTACAAAACAGAAGTCCTCTAATTTTCAGTTTGGCAGTGGTCTGCTAAAATGCTTCCCTGAAGACCTGGATCCTGGAAATCTATTGTCTGGAAGCTTTGGAAGCCATCATACGAGCTCCCAAAGGGTCAAAGCCAGTAAGCTATAAGCAAAAATGAGTAAACAGATATTTCTCAGACAAAACTTCTGTTTTTCTTCTCCAACCCTCCTTGAAACCAAGCGGTGTCCACAGAATCAGATTCTGAACAACGTTTTTCCTCCAGCAGCAAAACGATTTGGCTAAAAACTTCAACCAGCTCCACCCAGAGATTAGAAACAGAGCAATTACACACATTTCAATACCTACGTGGAAAAACATTAGAACTGGATGAGTTCTGAAGTTGGTTGTGCGATAAATTCTATGGCTAAAATTAATTGGCTTGGACATACATACAGTGAAATAGGAGAAAAACAGCATAAGGCAATAAAGACTCATAAACCAAAAATTTCAGGGCCACTCTGCTTTGCTTGTATACCTGTACAAAAGCATGACTTATGACTGACAAAAATATGCATTTTAGACCAAGTCTCTCACTCTTTCTTTCACTCTTTATTTTTCTGCTTCAAAAGACACCCACTGAAGTCAGCAAGGATTTTGTAGATAAATTATTTCTCACCACGAATGGGTACACACAGAAAACTCTTTAGGTAAATTAACTAGCTTTTAATAAACACTAAACATTTAGGATAGAAAGCCCCTTCCAATCAGAGACAGATTGTAGATGATTGGCTTGAGACCAAAAGGATTTAAGAGAAAGTTGCACTGAAATACAACTACAAAAAACCCAGAAGGGTAGCTTTCAACCCGTCTTTTTAAGTTTCCTGACTTTCAAGAAACCTACAGTTGACACAGAAAATAAAACGTATGTACCTTAATTTGAAACACCTAACTTCAAAGATCTTCAAAATGCTGTCTATCTGGTCAGTTGCCCTTAGAAATCCTACATTCCACTGGTACCACGTCTTCCGTAAAAAAACCTACCATATAAAATGATAAAAGATTACTTGCTAGGGATCAGAAGACAGGCCTCCTCCTCTCTCAAGGCAAACGTCTTAGTCACAAGGTTACAGTCTCAAGTTCTTTCCTATACTTCCCTTATAGTCCACTTAATTTTGAGATCTCCTGTGTCAAGCCACAACTTTAGTAACTAAAGTGAAGGGTGACCTAACTAGAGCCATCTGGAACTATGTATATTTCAGTTGCCCCAGTGAGAAAACCAAGAAATTAAGCTCGATCTTTTCTTTGATGCCCTAATGTTCTATGCTGCACATCTCTATGGAAAAAGGACAAAAAACATTCCTCAAAGATGCATTTAAAAAAAACCCACACAAAAATAGGGGGAGAGAAGAAACCTTCATCAGTTCTTTGAAAGCAGACACAGGCACATACGGCAGTATTGCAGGTTTCAATTCTGAATAAACAGAGGTGTTCCTCTGCAACCATGGAAGACATGGCATGCAAAGCTCATCTTGTTTCCTACTTGTTAGATCTAAATATATGCATCCAACACATTTATACATCATCTTGTTCAGCACACAAGCTGTTCAGAGTTCTGCTGCCAAGTGCTCAAAGTCTTCCTACAAAACTAATATAGAGCTGAGATGCCTCTCCAGCAGGTCTGTACACCACTTTTAAGGGCCACATGATATCTTATAGTTGCTTTACCCCTTGATTCAGTAAAAGAATGACACTACTGCTTTTTGAGAATAAGTAACACAGAATTCACTTCTGGATACAGATTTCACCAAATAAAAACTGCCAACTAACTCTGTAGCACAATTAAGAAGTTAGAGAGACAGGTAGGTCACCTTATAAACATTGAAAAATGGATGATTAACAGGGCTACTTTCTTACAGATTCTGCTAAATGTTTCAGTGATTATTCGCTTCCCTTCAAAAAGGGAGCTGCCTTTGTCCCCTCTATATCCTCTTGAGACCAAGAATAACAGCGGGGCACACGATTCTTAGCATAGCCATTAGGTTCATTCTGGGCACTCAGGTTAAATCTGTATCTGATAGCAGACTAAGCCTATTGGGCTCTTCCCTCACAACAGACCCAGGTTAGTGACATCTTGATGAGCCTCCCAGAGCAGGGAAGCTAAGCACTGCGGTGAAGCACACATAGATCGGTTTGGATTGCCCAAAGCATAAAATTTTATGTGGGCATTTCTTCAGCTGCTGTCTTGAGTCTCTTCTAGAAGTTTTTCTTTGCAGGTTTAAAGATTTAAAATTGCTTTCCTTAAATAAAATAAACCAAAATCAAATCAAATCAAATCAGGACTGACAAATATCTCATCTAATTCGTGGCCTGTGACTAAGATACTCAGAAAGACCTAGACTGAAATTCTGTTGGTGAAATGTTATATCATGCATGTACTCCGATTGCATAGAATCAAACTTTACAGAGCTAAGGAATTTCACAAATTACATAAGCAAATTCTTTAAAATCAAGGATTAAATTCATATTCAAACAGAAGCTTACAATTTCAACAGGGGAAAATACCTATTAGCAACGATGTCGACACTATCTTTCCTTGTACATCTAAGCTTCCAGTTAGACAAGTTTTGGAAAGTCAGTCTAGAGAAAGGGAAGGATTTTTCTGTAATGCTGGAAAATTAATTAAAAGTTTACTCTCTGTGAGAAAGTAGAATCTGAAATATAAGAGACTCTGCTATCCACTCCCCACTGCCACACTTTTCCAAGCACAAAACGTACTGATTTGTTTGGGTGATCAGATCCTTAACTTACAAATCTAATTTTAAGAAAAAAAAAAAATCTTACCAGATTCCCCTGCGCTAAAGTGATCTAATGGATTCCCTTCTGCATCTGGGTTTAGTAAGACCATTTCAAACTGAATATCCTCGGATTCAGAATAATTCTCCTCGCAGGTAAACTTGTCTACATAAAACACATACCATGTTTCTGGATAAGGAATCTGGGACACTGTCAGATTTTGCTCTGTGTGGTTCACAGTCACTTTGAAAGAAAACAAACAAACAAAGGAGTAAATACTCAATTAGTTGGTTTTTGGAAAACTCATCTCTGACTGAAGATAAAATTTAAATCCACAACATCATATCCAGGTTATAAATGATATACAGTACAAAACAGTCTTTATTTTGAAAGCCAGCTGTAACACCAGAGGCCAAACTTCCATCCTCGTCTTTTGTTTTGAATAGGTGCAGGCAAGGGTTGGTGAGGATACACACCGCATTCCATCTCCCAGCTTTTGGGTTCGCTGGGAAGGCTCCCTTCTCCCAGAAGCCACTAACTGAAAAACGTGTCTCCTATGCTTAGCACTTTTCTGTCCTCCAGTACTGTACTGATGGGACTAGCTATTTTCTATTAGCCAACAGGTACCTCTGCAGTATGAAAAAATTCCTCTGTGAAATTTATTCTACTCTATTTTCAAAGACATTTAGAGCACTGAACAGTAACAGCCACATGTGAGACTGATAAACAATAGTGTGCACGCTTTCAAGGTGCAACTTAGCATATTTTACAGCATCTTCCCCAAACCGTAACAGACAGCTAAAGGCAAAGACCACTGTCTAATAACATTGCGTATTTCAAATCAGTTTACATTTAAAACCAACTATGTAAGAGACCGAAGTTTCATCTGCTCATTGATCTTACCACTATTTTTCCTAAAAGCAATTACTAATGAATGCACAATCTTTCAAAAATAAACACTTGCTGAAAATGAAATCTGTGGCTCTGTATGTTTGGGTAAAACTGTAAGAACAGTAAATGCTGTTCCACTAATTACTGAACTTGAGTGCTAATCAGCTCAACCATAAATGAAAGTCACCTCTGTAGAAGAAATAACAATATAATGACCGGACCATAGATTAATTCACCTTGATGGTTTAAGATGACAATGGCTAAGGATGAAGAAAGAGAAAAATTTCATTGAAACTCCATAAAACAAACTATTTAAGTTTTTTATGCAAAAAGGTGCAAACATACCTACAAAACAACCCTTAGCAAACTCATTATCCCTAAGTATTTTGTAGACAAAATTTAGAACTAATTTCTAACTTGAAGCTTGCCTGTGAAAAACATTTATGTAATTTAAATACACTTGTTTCAACTTCAACAAGTTATTTTCCATTCACTGAAGGCATGAACTGATCAACATCAAGATCCAGGAAGAAATGTATGACACGTCTCTTTGCAGCAATTGTGATGAAGTACAAACTCAGGCAACACACAAACCAGAAAAAGAAAGTATTCCATCACAGGCAATTTGTCTTGTGTAGCTAACGGTAAGTATACATTCCACTCCGGAGCTACACATCTTATCAATCAAATATACAGAGGGAAACAAGCCCCTTCAAAAACACGAGATTTTTAAAAACACAGTTTTAGGATTTCATATGGTGCTTAATCCAAACAAAAGGCAAATTGCAGCTGCCAGGGGTGGCTTTGCTCTCCATGCGTACTCTCAGCTGAGTTCTGACTGTTATTTGCATCACTTAGAATCAGTTTTCCATCAAACCTTCAAGATAACTTAGAGGAAATGAAGTGAGATAAAAGAAATGTAATTGATTTTGCCCAAGATCAGCAAACAGATCCAACTCGCCCTGTGGTCATATGATTCCTGAACACAGTAGAAAACAGGGAGTACATTGCTGGGACAGACAGGAGTGATAGATCAACTGCCAGTCATTTCAGCAGCACTTCATGTTCAGCTCAGATCAAGTGTAGGGCAACTACATCTTTAGAAGTGACATCTGTGTAAGATTTCGTTATGACAATGTTCCAGGAGATCAATTTGTTACGCTAGGGATTCTGGCCGCACAGAGGAAACGTATTTAAAAAAGAAGCTGTATTCACTTCAGATACATTTGAATGAAGCTTCTAATATTAATTTAATTTCTTACAGGAAAATTCATGCTTTAAGTTTGTTTTGTAATATTATGATCAATATATAGTGCGAAAATTATTGTTTCAGTATGTTTTGTCTTCCAGTTACATAACTAAATACTTCCATGTTTTACCGTTCTGTTAAATTTAGATGGATCCTCAAGTTAAGCTTTATCCTGATTAGCTCATCTTTGATACTGCATTAAAAATTTTCTAGCATGTTTTGTACATCAAAGTGTGACAGGTTTGTGTGACCATGAAAATTAAAATACTCTTTTATTTTTGTTTTCTCATCTTTGAACAATGTCAGTTCCATGGAATTGGAGAACAGCCTGACAAATGAGAAATGTTCCTCCATAAACAAACAACAACAAGATAACCTGCATATTCTGTACCAGTATAATTATCAGCTCAAATATTAAAAACATTTGAATAGGAGATGCAGTGATGAATACCAAATTACAAAATTAAAGGGTGAAAGAACACCAAATGATAATGCAAGCAAGTTATAAAGTAAAGCAGCATAACCCAGATTAATTTTTGCAGATCACCTTACAGACGGGGCAGGGGAATGCTAATGATTATGAGGTTGTGAAAGAAAAAAAAAAAAATCCAACAGAGACAAAAGGTTTTCAGGTACAAAATTACCCTTTTACTGTGTACTTGGGCTACGTACTCCCACCTTAGAAGCATTCACTTCAGAAGTGTAGAGGTAACTACAGCAGGCTGCATCAGTTTGCCTAATTTTTTTCATTCTACTGCAATAAAGTCACAATTCAAACTGCATTTGACTGTCTCAAACATTCTCTAAGTTCTTCAGTTTCATCTTACAATGGTATTCTTTGTAAATTCTTTCACATACTCAACAAAACCTTTTTTTATAGGAAAGTCTGAGATTAAAACAAAAATGAGGCTTTTACTCCAAGTAGAGTTAAAGAAAATATCTCTACTGAATAAGTGAAAACTTCAGCCAAATGTGTATCCTTTGAGTTGTGTACAAGTGAAAGCATGAGAACAGAACTAGTCATAAAGTTTGGCTGTTTGCATTAAACTCGTTATTTGCAAGGATTGTTCATTTTCCAGCAATATAGTAAATCACAACTTGCAAACAAAGCCTTCTGAAGTGATGCAAACAAAGCAATTACATTTCCTTGTAATCATTTTTAATTACAGAAGGCCAAAGTCTTACTTTTAGTTAAGCTGATGCAAAGTCCAAATTCACTGTAATAAATATTCTAAATATACAGATAACTTAACATGGTTCTAAATACATAGATATTTGTCTTTGTAATTTGTAAAAGAAAAAAGTAGTAACTCACTTGTCAGCTGAGCTTTAGAGAACTTCTCTGTACAGCTGTGATCTTGGATACCATTCTGCAGCTTCTGCCATTCCTGTGCTTGAAACAGGTGAAGTCTAGCTGCTTTTGTCACAGCTACTGCTACGTTCTTGATTCTGACACACAGAACAGCATGATCACCTTGATATTTAAAAAATAAAATCAACTACTCTGCCTTGAGATCAGTTACAAACAACAAGTCAGTGTGGCATAGATTTTTTAGAAGTAGTAGCACTGAAGCTTCACTTTATTTCTTAAACTTTTACCACTACTTCCCATAAAAGTCTTCACACTCACTCAGAAACAATTTCTCTATATCTCATTAACATAATACTGCACGCACGATTCTCTATGATGGTACTTAAACAAACCTTCACCATAACTGAAATGTCATTAACCTTCTCTACTACAAAAAGTCTTCCCTCCCTCCTCTTTTTAAAACAAAAAACAGACTTCCAGATAAGCTTTTTTTTTTTCCCTTCCTCCTAGCCCAAATTTTACTTTTTCAAGTTCAAGTAAAGACAGTGCCTCAATCAGTCTCAATAACTGGTTCAAAGTCTAGTACTTTATGATCTTTGTAGCACGATTATGAGCATCATAGGGTAGCTCTTAAGTCTAATACCAGAAGGATTTATGTCAACAGACCTTCACGTTATGGACTGATTAGAGATAAACTACTTACTTACAGATGACACACATCAAATAGATACAAAGAAAATCAAACTTTGAGAGTGTTCTCTAACGTGTCAGTCTATCTATAGGCTGCATATTGACATTATGAAATAGTTTAGCAGTTTTAGAACCAGCTTATTTGACGCAATTTATCTTGTCTAGGTAATTCTACAATTCTCAAACTTATTTTGATAATTTTTTTCATTGCCACAGGCTTCTTTAATGTAACAGTATCCTAAATTAAAAGATAGGATCTAACAGAGAAGAAAACAATCAATCGGTACTGCAAGAGTACAAATCCATTCAAATTTAAGCAAGCTTTGTATGTTTTTTAAACTGTCAGAGCAATCTCCTTTCCCATCTAACCTACGCACCAGCTGGATGTGAGTCAACAGACTACTACTAGCTTCAAACAAGGCTTTGTGAGAAAGGTTTGCCTGTTCATAGATTTCATAGATTTCATAGATTTCTAGGTTGGAAAAGACCTTAGAGATCATCGAGCCAGCTGCAAGATAGTGGTCCTGCAATAAAACCTCAAAAGAGGTGATCTCCTGGGATCTGTAAAATGTTATATGGACTACAGTTTACCTAAGTCACTAATAAAAGATTTTGAAAAATTAACAAAAGGTTCTAAAAAAAGCCCATATGGCTTCACTAAGACCCAAAATACATATAGTTGTGATATTCATGCAGAAACAGGAATGTTTCTAAGAAAACATGCATCATCTACTTGTAGAATAAATTATATCTGAACACCTAAACCACTCATCTTGAATCTTAACATTCTTTTCTCAGATTTAAGCAGTACACTTTTTTTTTTTTTTTCCTTTACATCTATTCAGAGCATTTCTACAATTATTTTCCAGGACAGTGATAATTAACTGCTTTCAAGTCACTCCACAAGCTGTTCCCACCCTATCTATCATCTCTCATTCAGCACTGGAAGGTCACATTCCAACTCTTCTTGGCTTATGCCACATTTTCCTTCATCCCATTAGATTTTTTTCTGCAAACATTTTTGTTTTCCTCTCAAACTAACACTCCAGTCTGAGAAGAAGCCTGTGTAAATATGCGAATTAAAGTGAAGCATCTTCATGGAAAGCTGGAGAGGGACTTTTGACAAGGGCATGTAGTGATAGGACAAGGGGCAATGGCTTTAAACTGAAAGAGGGGAGGTTTCCATTAGATCTAAGGAAGAATTTCTTCACTCTGAGTGTGGTGAGGCACTGGAACAGGTTGCTCAGAGAAGGTGCGGGTGCCCCATCACTGGAAGTTTTAAAGGCCAGGCTGGATGAGGCTTTGAGCAATCTGGTGTAGTGGAGGGTGTCCCTGCCCATGGCAGGGGGGGCTGGAACTAGATGATCTTTAAGGTCCCTTCCAACCCGAACCATTCTATGATTCTTTAATACCAAGTCACCACGCTTGCATGTATCTCTTTTTGCAAAGTAAAACTTCTGTAGCAAGCAGAGTAATTTCCAACCTGTATTTTTGCAGGGGCCATTCTAACAGCATTCTAGCCTGTTGCTAGGCCTCTTAACTAACAGTCAGGAATTATTACTAACAAGGAGTTCATAACACAGGAAAGAAAAGCCACTGGGAATAACCAGGTGAAAATTTACATTCTGACGCACAGTGATACAAAAGAACTCCAGTGATGTGAAAGACCCGTGCAACGTTAAGCATCGTTCTCAATCAGTGAAGTTCCAGGAGGGAAGGAGAGATGCACGTGACAGTTAAA